AGGTGCTACGAGGCCTTGCATACAAGGTGCAGGCCTTGACTGCCAGTAGTTCCAAGTGCAGACAGGACCTACAAGGTCTTGACTACCAGTAGTTCCAAGTGCAGACAGGTGCTATGAGGCCTTGCGTACAAGGTGTAGGCCTTGACTGCCAGTAGTTCCAAGTGCAGACAGGTCCTACAAGGTCTTGACTACCAGTAGTTCCAAGTGCAGACAGGTCCTACAAGGTCTTGACTACCAGTAGTTCCAAGTGCAGATAGGTGCTATGAGGCCTTGACTACCAGTAGTTCTAAGTGCAGACAGGTCCTACGAGGCCTTGAGTACAAAGTGAAGCCCTTGACTGCCTGTAGTTCCAAGTGTTGACAGGTCCAACGAGGCCTTGACTACCAGCAGTTCCAAGTGCAGATAGGTCCTCAAGGCCTTGACTACCAGTAGTTCCAAGTGCAGACAGGTCCTACAAGGTCTTGACTACCAGTAGTTCCAAGTGCAGACAGGTCCTACAAGGTCTTGACTACCAGTAGTTCCAAGTGCAGACAGGTGCTATGAGGCCTTGCATACAAGGTGCAGGCCTTGACTGCCAGTAGTTCCAAGTGCAGACAGGTCCTACAAGGTCTTGACTACCAGTAGTTCCAAGTGCAGACAGGTCCTACAAGGTCTTGACTACCAGTAGTTCCAAGTGCAGACAGGTCCTACAAGGTCTTAACTACCAGTAGTTCCAAGTGCAGACAGGTCCTACAAGGTCTTGACTACCAGTAGTTCCAAGTGCAGACAGGTCCTACAAGGTCTTAACTACCAGTAGTTCCAAGTGCAGACAGGTCCTACAAGGTCTTGACTACCAGTAGTTCCAAGTGCAGATAGGTCCTACAAGGTCTTGACTACCAGTAGTTCCAAGTGCAGACAGGTGCTACGAGGCCTTGCGTACAAGGTGCAGGCCTTGACTGCCAGTAGTTCCAAGTGCAGACAGGTGCTGCGAGGCCTTGACTACCACTATTTCCAAGTGCAGACAGGTGCTATGAGGCCTTGACTACCAATTTTTTCCAAGTGCAGACAGGTGCTATGAGGCCTTGACTACCAAATTTTTCCAAGTGCAGACAGGTGCTGCGGGGCCTTGACTACCAGTAGTTCCAAGTGCAGACAGGACCTACAAGGTCTTGACTACCAGTAGTTCCAAGTGCAGACAGGTGCTATGAGGCCTTGCGTACAAGGTGTAGGCCTTGACTGCCAGTAGTTCCAAGTGCAGACAGGTCCTACAAGGTCTTGACTACCAGTAGTTCCAAGTGCAGACAGGTCCTACAAGGTCTTGACTACCAGTAGTTCCAAGTGCAGATAGGTGCTATGAGGCCTTGACTACCAGTAGTTCTAAGTGCAGACAGGTCCTACGAGGCCTTGAGTACAAAGTGAAGCCCTTGACTGCCTGTAGTTCCAAGTGTTGACAGGTCCAACGAGGCCTTGACTACCAGCAGTTCCAAGTGCAGATAGGTCCTCAAGGCCTTGACTACCAGTAGTTCCAAGTGCAGACAGGTCCTACAAGGTCTTGACTACCAGTAGTTCCAAGTGCAGACAGGTCCTACAAGGTCTTGACTACCAGTAGTTCCAAGTGCAGACAGGTGCTATGAGGCCTTGCATACAAGGTGCAGGCCTTGACTGCCAGTAGTTCCAAGTGCAGACAGGTCCTACAAGGTCTTGACTACCAGTAGTTCCAAGTGCAGACAGGTCCTACAAGGTCTTGACTACCAGTAGTTCCAAGTGCAGACAGGTCCTACAAGGTCTTAACTACCAGTAGTTCCAAGTGCAGACAGGTCCTACAAGGTCTTGACTACCAGTAGTTCCAAGTGCAGACAGGTCCTACAAGGTCTTAACTACCAGTAGTTCCAAGTGCAGACAGGTCCTACAAGGTCTTGACTACCAGTAGTTCCAAGTGCAGATAGGTCCTACAAGGTCTTGACTACCAGTAGTTCCAAGTGCAGACAGGTGCTACGAGGCCTTGCGTACAAGGTGCAGGCCTTGACTGCCAGTAGTTCCAAGTGCAGACAGGTGCTGCGAGGCCTTGACTACCACTATTTCCAAGTGCAGACAGGTGCTATGAGGCCTTGACTACCAATTTTTTCCAAGTGCAGACAGGTGCTATGAGGCCTTGACTACCAAATTTTTCCAAGTGCAGACAGGTGCTGCGGGGCCTTGACTACCAGTAGTTCCAAGTGCAGACAGGTGCTATGAGGCCTTGACTACCAAATTTGACTAAAACTTTCTGAGCCCTGCTAGGTTATAAGTTACACGACCTCAGGTTCAGCCACTTTGCAGCCTCCACCATTTAGTTGTAGGCCAGTTAGTTTGGACAAGGGCCAGTAACATTTGAAAAAAGCAAACTCTGCTGGCTACATACATTTTTTTTTGTAAAATCTACCCCTGCATAAAAATGATTGCTGCTGAAAAAGAACCACTTTATTCTTTATATGTAACAAGTTAAAATCACATGTAAGTGGAATATTTCCGATAGAACTAAAAAACCCGAACGATTTTGTATGGATGAATACACTGTTCTGTAAAACACGGATGGTGGCAAATGGGCGATTCCTTGGCCTTGATGACGACATCAAATTGTGATTTGTTAGTCAGCGTAAACTCGGTAAGAAAATGTAAAAAAAAAGTAAATGTATTTGTTAATGAGCATGCATGAACCTTGCATGGCGCATGACTTTCCAATTCACTGCACAACAGGGTATGACTGGGTTGTCAGTCTCAGTAATTGTCTTTGTGTGCCAACAGCAGGGAGCAATGTTCTTAGTATTCTTCACTGGATGACTCTTGTGACAGATTGGGGGACAAGATGATCATCATTCAAGTCATGATGACAATTGTGACATTTTTCGTGTGCACTCTGACCTCATGATGACCCTCTGACTAAAGTGTTCCTGGATCAGTCAGCTTGAGTTTGGTGAGGCACTCTGACCTCATGATGACCCTCTGACTAAAGTGCTACTGGATCAGTCAGCTTGAGTTTGGTGAGGCACTCTGACCTCATGATGACCCTCTGACTTAAGGGTTCCTGGATCAGTCAGCTTGAGTTTGGTGAGGCACTCTGACCTCATTATGACCCTTTGACTGAAGGGTTCCTGGATCAGTCAGCTTCAGTTTGGTGAGGCACTCTGACCTCATGATGACCCTTTGACTGAAGGGTTCCTGGATCAGTCAGCTTGAGTTTGGTGAGGCACTCTGGCCTCATGATGACCCTTTGACTAAAGTGTTCCTGGATCAGTCAGCTTGAATTTGGTGAGGCACTCTGACCTCATTATGGCCCTCTGACTAAACTGTTCCTGGATCAGTCAGCTTGAGTTTGGTGAGGCACTCTGACCTCATTATGACCCTTTGACTGAAGGGTTCCTGGATCAGTCAGCTTGAGTTTGGTGAGGCACTCTGGCCTCATGATGACCCTCTGACTAAAGTGTTCCTGTGGATCAGTCACCTTGAATTTGGTGAGGCACTCTGACCTCATTATGACCCTCTGACTAAAGTGTTCCTGTGGATCAGTCAGCTTGAATTTGGTGAGGCACTCTGACCTCATTATGACCCTCTGACTAAAGTGTTCCTGGATCAGTCAGCTTAAATTTGGTGAGGCACTCTGACCTCATTATGACCCTCTGACTAAAGTGTTCCTGGATCAGTCAGCTTGAGTTTGGTGAGGCACTCTGACCTCATGATGACCCTCTGACTTAAGTGTTCCTGGATCAGTCAGCTTGAGTTTGGTGAGGCACTCTGACCTCATTATGACCCTCTGACTAAAGTGTTCCTGGATCAGTCAGCTTAAATTTGGTGAGGCACTCTGACCTCATTATGACCCTCTGACTAAAGTGTTCCTGGATCAGTCAGCTTGAGTTTGGTGAGGCACTCTGACCTCATGATGACCCTCTGACTTAAGTGTTCCTGGATCAGTCAGCTTGAGTTTGGTGAGGCACTCTGACCTCATGATGACCCTCTGACTAAAGTGCTCCTTGATCAGTCAGCTTGAGTTTGGTGAGGCACTCTGACCTCATGATGACCCTCTGACCAAAGTGCTACTGGATCAGTCAGCTTCAGTTTGGTGTAACTGTCATGTTTGTTCAGTTCCTAACTTCAGTTCGGTAATGAATATATTTCTACTGTATTGTGATCATAAGGTAAAACATTTTCTCTTTTAATAAAAATTAAATTGTGATGAGAGTTTTATTTAGCCCTTATAGTCATGTGCAAGTTATTCTATTGATTAGTTTCATGTTTGTGTGGCTTGGAAATGTTGCAATTATTCCCTGTTTAACAGAACATGTTTCATTATTATGCATGCAGACAAATAATGGGAGCACTGCATTCAAGATTACGCTCTACAATAGGGCTAATCAGACCAGGAAGAGTATTGGCTAATGAGCTGCTCGATGTTTATCACTAACCAACCAGCCTTCCAGTGATTTTACTTTTCACAAGTAGATTTAGACTAACAATCACAGTCAGTCATAGGTCAACATCACCTTGCCAGATACTACATGCACTTTGTAGTGCCTGCTTGGGGCCCAGGATTGTGAGTGTAGGGCCCTGAATGAATGTGTTATCCTGACCGGGAGATAAGTTGTGTTGTCACCACCAGTGTGTGATATACGGCTCATATCTGCCAACATGGTGTTACGAAATGTGGTCTCTGCAGGGATTCATGTTGTCTCAGTGTGCTTCTCAAACATTGCTTCTTCTCGAACATTTCCCTTTACTTCCACCCCCGTGACGGTCCGTGTTAGAACTGGCTTGTCATAAGAGGCGACTAATGTGATCGGGTGGTCAGGCTCGCTGGATTGGTTGATGCATGTCATTGCATCCCAATTCCGAAATCGATGCTCAAGATGTCAATCACTGGACTGTCTTGTCTAGACTCAATTAATTATAGCTTCAGCTCCTGCTTCACCATGTATCCTATGGGCCACATCCGGCTTTGCATAAGTCCTGTGTCAGTTTTAGACATTAATGAAGTTGTTCTGTTTCAGATGCTGGCTCCAAGCTACAAAACCAAGACAGATGACTTCCGCAAAACATTCAAGGATATCCCTCATGAAGAACGCCTCATTGTCGGTGAGTTGTCTGCTGTTGTGGTTTGATCAGGCTGGCCGTCTCCATGGCATGTGGATTGAGTGTCTGCCTGAGTGTCTGCCTGAGTGTCTGCCTGAGTGCTAAAGGTCAGTGGTTCGAACCCCTGCCCATCTCTGGTCCAGTGGAATGAGTGTCTGCCCAGAGAGCAGTAGGCTGCTTCGATCCCTGTAAAAAGTGGTACACATTCTAAGCCTGCCTATCAAGGGGATATAAGGACTGGTTAGCTTGGTGTCGATAAATTGTGTCTGAGTATGGTATCTGTGTTAAACTGTGACATGTCTTAGTGGCCTAGTGCTATAAAACCGACGTTAGTAAGGACTAGTACAAGCGAATATAAGTCCAATAATCTTGAAAACAATGTTAAGCCCCTTTTCACCTCACCAGTTTGTAAGGGTCATTGACTTTGTGCACTGTGGAAGGGAACAGGTGCTCCAATTCCTGTCTGTTACGAAAACATGCAAGTCTTACTGCCCAACTGTCTCATGGCATCAGGAAGACCAGATTGCTGAGGACAAGGAACTATCCAATGATGGTGGTCTTAAGTGAATAGCAGAATTTGAGGGCTATAATTCTGAACCGGTTCTCAATGTTTCAATTTTGCTTCAAATGGGAACTGTATAAAACTGTCTGAAAGTGTAAACAAACAGGACTAACTATGAACTCTGAGCACTAGTGAAATAAGGTTTCTCTAGTCCTCTGGACTTGTCTTAAAGACCCGTGAAGATTCCAGGGTAGAAAAGGTCTTCAGCAACCCATACTTGCCGTAAAAAGCGACTATGCTTGTCGTAAAAGGCGACTAACAGGATCGGGTAGTCAGGCTCGCTGACTTGGTTGATACAAGTCATCGATCCCAATTGCGTGGATCGATGCTCATGATCTCAATCACTGGATTGTCTGGTCCAGATTCGATTATTTTACAGACCACCGTCATATAGCTGGAATATTGCTGAGTGCGGCGTTTAACAACAATTAATCAATCAATCAATTGTCTTAAAAGATGAATTTCTGAGCCAGTAAAGTCATATGTTATAAAGATAAATTTCTGAGGCTCTAAAGTCATAACTTCAAGAGATGAAGTGTGAGTCTGTAAAAAGATGAATTTCTGAGGCTGTAAAGTCCTGTCTTAAAAAGATGAATTTCTGAGACTGTAAAGTCCTGTCTTAAAAAGCTGTGAGGCCCATTTGACGTGACCGGCTTGTGTTGTCAGACTACTCGTGTGCGCTGCAGAAGGACATCTTGGTGCAGGGGCGGATGTACATCACGCAAAACTGGATCTGCTTCTACGCCAACATCTTCAGATGGGAAACTGTGGTCAGTGAAATGTTCATACATCTGTCCCAAAATCTTAAGATTTCTTGCAAATACCCCACCTCTATCACATCATAGCCATAAATCCATCACACTATAAAATCTTCAGATTTTCAACAAAGGTCCTCTTCACTGCCAACTATCCTTGATCAGTTGTGCAGGAAATGAGTGTCTTGCTACCCATCTACTTTCATAGCTGTCAACCATCCCAAATTTATCATTTTTGTTATAAATTTGCAACTGAAATATGAAAATATGATTTCTTCCATACATATGAGTTCTATGCCTTTTCTATGATAAAACTCACAAAATGAAACTTTCATACATACCGGTAAAGGGTGGATAATTATCTTGTATCACATTATGAACTAACGTGGGGAGTGAAATATGCTGGTGTTGTACATCACGAAACCATCAACCAATGTCAGTTCATCTCAAGGAGCATACGAACGCCTCCGTGGTCTAGTGGTAGAGCGTCCGCCCGGAGAGCGGAAGGTCCGGGGTTCAATCCCCGGCCGCGTCATACCAAAAGACGTTAAAAGATGGTACTAGTTGTTACCCTGTCTGGCACTTGGCTTTAAGGAGCCGAAACAAGGACTTGTCGGCTCGGAGTCAGTATACTGTGTCTGAGTTGGGTATTCATGTTAAACTGTGGCATGGTATCTCAGTGAGCTAGCACTATAAATCGGCATCAGTCCGGACTAGTACAAGCAGCCACACAAACACACATGCACGTCGCTATATAAGTGCGATAATCTTGGACGCGACGTTAAACCCCATTTCACCTCACCTCACTCAAGGAGCATACTGACAATAATGTATACCTTTATGTTAGCCCTGTTCTGCTGTCCACTTGCATGTCTGCTGTACGCCTAACATCACCTTTACAGCTAACCATACAGTGCAAGGAGATTACAGCTGTCACAAAGGAGAAAACAGCGCGAGTCATCCCAAATGCAATCGCCATAACAACGGAACGGGAAAAGTACTTCTTTACCTCCTTTGGTGCCAGGGATAAAACGTTCATGATGCTGTTTCGTATATGGCAGAATGCTCTCCTCGACCAGGTAGGATTTGTCTCCCCTTGTTTCCACTTCAGGTCTGATATTAACTTTTCATTTTCCCTGTTTGAACAAAAATATATATAAATGGGTATGTCTGTGGAAAAAGCGTTTTTTTCATTTTGAAACTGGGGCAAAGGAATCTTTTTGAATTACAGAAGTTGTTTCCATAGATAGATTTGTGATAGGGTTAGGCAAGGCAGGGTTTCACATCTATACCTTTGATAAAATAGTTTTAAGATATAATAAAACTTTTTGGAATGTGCTGATAACAATTAATATCATCACTAAATTGTCCTGAACCCTCTGTGGATGCTGGCTATATGGAGCCCATCACTGAATTGTCCTAAACCCTCTGGATGCTGGGGATATGGAGCCCATCACTGAATTGTCCTAAACCCTCTGTGGATGCTGGGGATACGGAGCCCATCACTGAATTCTCCTAAACCCTCTGTGGATGCTGGCTATATGGAGCCCATCACTGAATTGTCCTAAACCCTCTGGATGCTGGGAATATGGAGCCCATCACTGAATTGTCCTAAACCCTCTGTGGATGCTGGCTATATGGAGCCCATCACTGAATTGTCCTAAACCCTCTGGATGCTGGGGATATGGAGCCCATCACTGAATTGTCCTAAACCCTCTGTGGATGCTGGGGATACGGAGCCCATCACTGAATTGTCCTAAACCCTCCGGATGCTGGGGATATGGAGCCCATCACTGAATTGTCCTAAACCCTCTGTGGATGCTGGGTATATGGAGCCCATCACTGAATTGTCCTAAACCCTCTGTGGATGCTGGGGATATGGAGCCCATCACTGAATTGTCCTAAACCCTCTGTGGATGCTGGGGATATGGAGCCCATCACTGAATTGTCCTAAACCCTCTGTCGATGCTGGCTATATGGAGCCCATCACTGAATTGTCCTAAACCCTCTGTGGATGCTGGGAATAGCGAGCCCATCACTGAATTGTCCTAAACCCTCTGTGGATGCTGGGGCTATGGAGCCCATCACTAAATTGTCCTAAACCCTCTGTGGATGCTGGGTATACGGAGCCCATCACTGAATTGTCCTAAACCCTCTGGATGCTGGGTATACGGAGCCCATCACTGAATTCTCCTAAACCCTCTGTGGATGCTGGGGATATGGAGCCCATCACTGAATTGTCCTAAACCCTCTGTGGATGCTGGGTATATGGAGCCCATCACTGAATTGTCCTAAACCCTCTGTGGATGCTGGGGATATGGAGCCCATCACTGAATTGTCCTAAACCCTCTGTGGATGCTGGGGATATGGAGCCCATCACTGAATTGTCCTAAACCCTCTGTCGATGCTGGCTATATGGAGCCCATCACTGAATTGTCCTAAACCCTCTGTGGATGCTGGGAATAGCGAGCCCATCACTGAATTGTCCTAAACCCTCTGTGGATGCTGGGGCTATGGAGCCCATCACTAAATTGTCCTAAACCCTCTGTGGATGCTGGGTATACGGAGCCCATCACTGAATTGTCCTAAACCCTCTGTGAATGCTGGGTATACGGAGCCCATCACTGAATTCTCCTAAACCCTCTGTGGATGCTGGCTATACGGAGCGCATCACTGAATTGTCCTAAACCCTCTGTGGATGCTGGCTATACGGAGCCCATCACTGAATTGTCCTAAACCCTCTGTGGATGCTGGTTATATAGAGCCCTTCACTGAATTGTCCTAAACCCTCTGTGGATGCTGGGGATATGGAGCCCATCACTGAATTGTCCTAAACCCTCTGTGGATGCTGGCTATATGGAGCCCATCACTGAATTGTCCTAAACCCTGTGTGGATGCTGGGGATATGGAACCCATCACTGAATTGTCCTAAACCCTCTGTGGATGCTGGGAATATGGAGCCCATCACTGAATTGTCCTAAACCCTCTGTGGATGCTGGGAATATGGAGCCCATCACTGAATTGTCCTAAACCCTCTGTGGATGCTGGGGATATGGAGCCCATCACTGAATTGTCCTAAACCCTCTGGATGCTGGGGATACGGAGCCCATCACTGAATTGTCCTAAACCCTCTGTGGATGCTGGGGATATGGAGCCCATCACTGAATTGTCCTAAACCCTCTGTGGATGCTGGGGATATGGAGCCCATCACTGAATTGTCCTAAACCCTCTGTGGATGCTGGGAATATGGAGCCCATCACTGAATTGTCCTAAACCCTCTGGATGCTGGGGATACGGAGCCCATCACTGAATTGTCCTAAACCCTCTGTGGATGCTGGGGATATGGAGCCCATCACTGAATTGTCCTAAACCCTCTGTGGATGCTGGGGATATGGAGTCCATCACTGAATTGTCCTAAACCCTCTGTCGATGCTGGCTATATGGAGCCCATCACTGAATTGTCCTAAACCCTCTGTGGATGTTGGGGATATGGAGTCCATCACTGAATTGTCCTAAACCCTCTGTCGATGCTGGGAATATGGAGTCCATCACTGAATTGTCCTAAACCCTCTGTGGATGCTGGGAATATGGAGCCCATCACTGAATTGTCCTAAACCCTCTGTCGATGCTGGCTATATGGAGCCCATCACTGAATTGTCCTAAACCCTCTGTGGATGTTGGGGATATGGAGTCCATCACTGAATTGTCCTAAACCCTCTGTGGATGCTGGGAATATGGAGCCCATCACTGAATTGTCCTAAACCCTCTGTGGATGCTGGGGCTATGGAGCCCATCACTGAATTGTCCTAAACCCTCTGTGGATGTTGGGGATACGGAGCCCATCACTGAATTGTCCTAAACCCTGTGTGGATGCTCGGGCTATGGAGCCCATCACTGAATTGTCCTAAACCCTGTGTGGATGCTGGGAATATGGAGCCCAAATTTTATAGTGTTGTTCATTAGCCTGATTATAGTATTGTTTTCACCCTAGTTTTAAGGTCATATGTGTTGCTATTTATTGTTCTGTCCTTCAAGGACAGGTTCCTATGTCATACAAATGTATAACTTGTGTGTATTGTTGAGAGTGGCATATAAACATGCTCACTGACCACAATAAAGTTGTGTTTGGTTTCGGCAGCCGATGAGTCCGAAGGAGCTGTGGCAGTGGATACACTACAGCTATGGCGAGGAGCTGGGGCTCACCTCCAGTGACGACGACTACGTGCCGCCCCCCGGCATGGACGACCTCCGGGAGAGGCTCAGCAAGGAAGAGATCATGCCACCCAAGGTACGGCACACAGAACAGATGCTTCTTCCCCTTCTTCCCCTGAATTGAGTTTGTATATACTGAACAAAAAAAGTTAGGGATCATGAATATTTTGGGGGATATTTTTATGAATTTTTTTGCTCGTTTTTCAGTGCAAAAATTATCCCCAAAATATTCGTGATCCCTAACTTTTTTTGTTCAGTATATATGAATGTGGTGTGTTCACATTATTTCACTATTTTATGGTATTTCATTGGCTTCTCTTCCATTTATTCCATCACCTTCCTCGATGTGTTGTTATCTTTGTACATAAATCCTACCTTGAGTAAACATATTAGCAGGTATATATATTGACTCAATATACTAACTCAGTTTTCGAATAGGTCTTCAGCAACCCATGCTTGTCGTAAAAGGCGACTAACAGGATCGGGTGGTCATGCTCGCTGACTTGGTTGATTGCGTGGATCAGTGCTCATGATGTCAATCACTGGATTGTCTTGTCCAGACTCGATTATTTACAGACCGCCATCATATAGCTGGAGTATTGCTGGGTGTCGTGTTAAACAAACAAACAAACAAACAAACTCAGTATTCACCTGATGAAGGGGCAAGAGGTAGCCAGAGCTCCAGATAACTTTTTGAGCAATTGAGTTTTTACTCTAGGGTTTCTATTTTAATTGGGTTACAACATTTTTCATTGGGTAACCAATATTATTTCACTCATCCATTCGTCACTCTATTGGGTTTTTCCCCAAATTAGTGATCATTTTAAGATTTAAAAAAAATAAAATAATGTTTTAGATGTATAGAATTGTTCTAAATATTTGGGCTTTACTCAGAAAATAAATTAGCTCATAATTGTGTTTCGGAAATTAGCTCCGTTGTACGCATGCTAAAAAAAGCTTCATTTGGTATTTACGTGTCCTGTTTTTATACATTTGAGTTTTTCCTTTTATGCATGAGTTTTTGTAGGCAAGATGATTGAAAGTAATTGGGTTTTGAATATTTTTGGAGAGTATTTTACGCAAATACGCAGCTTATCTGTAGGTCTGAGTAGCCCTGCAACGTTGTTACAGTATAAAGATGTTATTGTACATAAAGCTTCATGTCCTGATTGATATGAGAACAGGGGTGGTCGGGTAGCCCTGCAACGTTGTTACTCAGTATGAAGATGTTATTGTACATAAAGCTTCATGTCCTGATTGATATGAGAACAGGGGCGGTCGGGTAGCCCTGCAACGTTGTTACTCAGTATAAAGATGTTATTGTACATAAAGCTTCATGTCCTGATTGATATGAGAACAGGGGCGGTCGGGTAGCCCTGCAACGTTGTTACAGTATAAAGATGTTATTGTACATAAAGCTTCATGTCCTGATTGATATGAGAACAGGGGCGGTCGGGTAGCCCTGCAACGTTGTTACTCAGTATAAAGATGTTATTGTACATAAAGCTTCATGTCCTGATTGATATGAGAACGGGGGCGGTCGGGTAGCCCTGCAACGTTGTTACAGTATAAAGATGTTATTGTACATAAAGCTTCATGTCCTGATTGATATGAGAACAGGGGCGGTCAGGTAGCCCTGCAACGTTGTTACTCAGTATAAAGATGTTATTGTACATAAAGCTTCATGTCCTGATTGATATGAGAACAGGGGCGGTCGGGTAGCCCTGCAACGTTGTTACAGTATAAAGATGTTATTGTACATAAAGCTTCATGTCCTGATTGATATGAGAACAGGGGCGGTCGGGTAGCCCTGCAACGTTGTTACAGTATAAAGATGTTATTGTACATAAAGCTTCATGTCCTGATTGATATGAGAACAGGGGCGGTCGGGTAGCCCTGCAACGTTGTTACAGTATAAAGATGTTATTGTACATAAAGCTTCATGTCCTGATTGATATGAGAACAGGGGCGGTCGGGTAGCCCTGCAACGTTGTTACTCAGTATAAAGATGTTATTGTACATAAAGCTTCATGTCCTGATTGATATGAGAACAGGGGCGGTCGGGTAGCCCTGCAACGTTGTTACTCAGTATAAAGATGTTATTGTACATAAAGCTTCATGTCCTGATTGATATGAGAACAGGGGCGGTCGGGTAGCCCTGCAACGTTGTAACTCAGTATGAAGATGTTATTGTACATAAAGCTTCATGTCCTGATTGATATGAGAACAGGGGCGGTCGGGTAGCCCTGCAACGTTGTAACTCAGTATAAAGATGTTATTGTACATAAAGCTTCATGTCCTGATTGATATGAGAACAAATGACTGAAGCTGAAGGGAGAGTACTAGGCCACTTACTCACCAAAATACATTTCCTCCTTGTTCTAACCACGAAACTACGCGCTAAATAAATATCGTGCATATTATACGCATCATTCTGATTCAGACACATTTAGTGTAACAAGATGGATGTTCCGATTGAACATTTTAGTCAGGCATCGGTTACCTCCCTTTATCGGCTTGTCGACCAGTCACTTGTACGCGAGATGGTTCGCGCAGTTTCGAAGAAAGTAAACATGTTTCAACGCGATGGAAAATGGGTGTGCGTTGGTGTGCGTGAAATAATTTATATATTTTGTAACTCTACGATGAATAAGCTTTTAGAAAATACTACGTGTTAGTTTCTGAAAAATATGTACATAGGAGAAAATCGCCGTCAAAAACAGAACATTTTGCTCGATTTTTGCACATTTTTCTCCCAATTTGACCATTTATTATTTTTCTTATGACATTTTTTTTATCAATGATCAATAACTGTACTTAATTTTGTTTTATTATTTTAACAAATAACGCTTGTAGAGACATTTTTTTGTGCAACATGCAGAAATCCATGGTCCACTGACAGGCCGTCACGCATACGAGTGACCCCCTCTCAGGTGGTCACTTGTACGCGAGACGGGAGAGCCATCTCGCGTACACGTTACGTCCTCTACTGCTCACTACAAGATCCCTATGTAACGAGTGTCTTCCTGTTTGCTGGGTAGAATATCAGTATGTGGTCGTGGGGGTTGGCCTGAATTTCGTTTTACAATTTATTACAATAATGATTGACATGTTGCGATACGTCCCACAATATAATGCATGTGTCCTGAATTAAAAAAAATACACCCCCAGCACATTTTTTGACAAATTCGTATTTTGTTGAAAGTTGCTATGGTCACAACGCATGCGTAATAGACACATTATATACAGTAAAACTGGTCACAAATAGTTCCTCTCTTTTCATAACTGGAAGCAGTTGCTAATTTCTGAATTCATAATTTCAATTTGACTTGCAACTTATATAGGACTTTGCGACAAGCTTCTGAAAAGCATGATTTTGAAAAACGCAATATACCATTTTTTGCCCAAACATATTGTGATACGTATTCGTTAGTATTTGCTGTCGTGGTATACGGGTAATACCCTGCACCTCTAGTATGTTATTATTGTTCCAAGCGCTGATGAACAAGCACTTCCTGCATGCTGGTGCTGACAAGATAACCATTGTTTGTTGTTTCTTTAAAGGTACGAACTCTAACATTTCAGGGGCTGTCTGATTCCTCCGATATCCATTTGCAGGGCGAACTGGGTCAGCTTATCAGCAACGATGACACAGATGTCCTCGTGTCCGACGAAGTCTTCTGCCAGTTGCCAGTCTCGTTAGATTCCCCCCTTGGTATTCGTGGTACCGAGGTGCCCACTGACTTCGGGGACACAACGGAGGACAGTGAAGGTCTGTATGTTGTTTGGATGTCATGGTGTGTCATGGTGTTCATCTGTATTACATGTGTCACTAGCAGATATTAAGTTATTAACTATGTGCCTGGATAATTTCTTTTGTCACTGAGTAAGGTGTGACTTAGGTGGTGGTGTTTGACATATGTGGTGGTGTTTGACTTACATGAGGGTGTTTGACTTCCGTGATGGTGTTTGACTTCCGTGATGGTGTTTGACTTCTGTGGTGGTGTTTGACTTCCGTGATGGTGTTTGACTTACATGGGGGTGTTTGACTTCCGTGATGGTGTTTGACTTCCGTGATGGTGTTTGACTTACATGGGGGTGTTTGACTTATGTGATGGTGTTTGACTTATATGGGGGTGTTTGACTTCCGTGATGGTGTTTGACTTTCATGGGGGTGTTTGACTTCCGTGATGGTGTTTGACTTACATGGGGGTGTTTGACTTATGTGATGGTGTTTGACTTATATGGTGGTGTTTGACTTCCAACATAGTGTTAGACCTTTGTCGTGGTGTTTGACTTAGGTTTGGATGTTTGATTTATGTGATGGTGTTTGACTTATGTGGTGGTGTTTGACTTCCAAGATAGTGTTTGACTTATATGGTGGTGTTTGACTTATGTGGTGATGTTTGATTTATGTGATTATGTGATGGTGTTTGACTTATGTGGTGGTGTTTCCAGGTGAGGTAACGTGTTCGGGTCATGAGCACCTGGAGAAGTGTTACCTTGATGAAGTGTTCAACCTCTCGGTGGACCAAGCTTTCGAGTACCTCTTCACAGACTCTGCATTCTTCAGACAGTTTGTTGCATCAAGGAAGACTTTTGGTAAGCCATTCAAGAGAACTATGCTCAGTTGCCTGGTGTCTATTTTCAGCCAAGATATCGACATTGTATTAAGTGTCCTGTGTGAGAAACTGTCACTGTCTCTGACAGTAACCAGCAACTGATGGATCTACATCTTAAAGTTACCCATGAATCCAGGTTAGAATAGGTCAAAAGAGTTGTGAGAGGCAACTGACTGGATGAGGTGGTCAGACTCACTGGCTTAGTTGATGCATGTCATCCTATCCAAATTGTGTTGGTCAATGCTCATTATATCAATCACTGGATTATCTGGTCCAGAGTTGATTATTTATAGGTCACTGTCATGTAGCTGAAATATTGCTGAGTGTGGCATTGAACAACAAACGAACAAACAAACATCCTAAAGTTAAGTTAGCAGACAACCAAACTGGTGTTTGAATGACAGGAATTTGCTGCCAATCTGTTCACCCTGATTATGTTTCTAGATTTGTCAGCACCATACCCGTGCTCGTGGGTTCCGCCGATGTGGTACGTCTGAGACCTGCATCACTACGGGCTTTCCTCCCACATTAAGCTGACACGCCGCGATATAACTTGAATACTGTTTAAAGCGGCGTTAAACCCAACTCACTCACCCTTAGCCTGAAACTTACATTGGTTCACATTCTCAGAACTCCCTTCACTGTTTCAATGTTGTCTTGCACAAGTAATGTCAGTATTTAACTTGTCAGTCAAATCCATAATCTAACCTGTCCATGCTGTATTATTTGGCGAAGTTAAAATAAATTTACTTATGTTGCTTTGGTTATATGAGATCAGTGTTAATCTTTTTTCTTCAGAACGTAGCATTGTATAGGATGTTTTTGACTGATTTGATGAATATGACAGTCACAGAGTTAGACATATTGTGTGCTCACAATCAGTGGTGGCCTTGACCTTATTCCAACATTAACCCAGACCTGTTGTGTGTCTCTGTGTCATAACTGTAACCAGCAACTGATAGATCTACATCCTGAAGTTACCCGTGAAGATCTGGGTTAGAATAGGTCATAAGAGTCGGTTGATCTGTCGTCTGCCAAAACTTTACTCAACTCTTAATCATTGGTGGCCTTGACCTTTTTCCATCAATAACCCTGACCTGATGTGTGTCATGCTAACACGCCTGTGTGACCTTTGATCTTCATGTGTTGTATTACCTTGACCTTTTTTGTAATATAAGTTTGGCCAGTTGTGTACTAATTATGACCATGGCCCATTATTTTCTGTGACCTTGACCTAAGCTGACCTTGACCTTGGCTTGTGTTTGTAGAGTTGGAGCTGCCAGAGTGGAGCGAGGTTGACGAGAACGGAAGCCGGGCACGCATCATCCACTACACCCTCACACTCAACCATTCCATAGGGCCAAAGACTTCCCCCTCAGAAGAAAAACAGGTGCAGTGAGCTTCAGACAGTCACTATGTCCATCTGGGGTGTCGAATTTTATCTTTCATTTTCTCACTTTTATTTTTTGCGAAGATGTATCGGAAAGTTTTGGCATGCCATTTCCAAAATTTGTATTTCATAGAATAATATATATAGGATTTTGAATGAAAAATATGACTTTGAATCCAGGTAAAACAGCACCATGAAATTAATTTTTTAACTGATGAATTAATATTACCTCTAATTTGGAGCAAAATACAGTAGATACCTCTGCAGAAAAGCATACAAGACTATTTCTGACTACATTTTCAAGCTGGCATTCAGGGATAATTCTAGGGTGGGGCCTCGTGCTTGATGTCCCTAAATTTGAAAAAAAGCCCCACATTTTCAAATACAAAGGGGCATTTTAACACTGTGCTGTATGGGAATATTTGAAGTTTTCTCACAAAGGGCCCATGTCAGACAATTCCTAGAGTGAACCCTGGGCATTGATTGTTGTCTGTTGTACCATGGGTGCTGCATACATGCCATCTGTTAACCAAGTGTATGATAGAAGTGAACCATTGGGGGTATTAAATATCAAGCAGGTGCTCGGAATGGCCAAACAAAAGGCTGATGACCATGCTAAGTGAGTGAGTGAGTGAGTTGGGTTTAACACCGCTTTTAAGAGTATTCCAGTTATATATCCAGCTTCATGTGGAAGGAAAGCCCGAAGTGATGCAGATCTTGGACGTTTACCACTTTGGTGAAGCCCACGAGCATGGGTATGGTGCTGACAAACCTAGAAACATAATCAGGGCGAACCGGGATTCGAACCCACAATCATAGGTTTCTGGCGTGCTCAAGGGACGCACCTCTACACAGCGAATCGCGTCACCTTAGATGACTAGGCCACCCGTGCCCCCCCCCCCCATGCTAAGTCGATGTCAACTAACACTAAGCTCTTAAAACTGGATGTTCATAAAAGACAGGGGTACAGTGACTCATAACAATATATCTGGCCATGTCTTGCTGCCTCAAATGGAGGACGCTCCTTCATTCATTGTAACATGTCAACTTCCCCTGCTGGGAAAACCGACTGCCGACAAATAGGTGATACTACAGGCTACAGAGTGTTAGTGTACTGCAGGAAGGGCAAGTTAAGGCTCCTGATGTTGTGACATCCTTATGACCTTGTGTTTACAGACGTGTATGAAGGACAGCGAACCAGGGCTGATGTACCTCATCGACACTGACTGCATGAACGGCGGCATCCCCTACGCTGATGCCTTCTTCGTGGCCAACCGCTACTGCCTGACACGGGTTTCCAAGAACAAGTGTCGGATCCATGTCTCCAGTGAAGTGAGGTACAAGAAATCTGTCATCGGCATTGTCAAGGGTAAGTGGCACGTTTTGGTTATATATGTCAAGTATTTGAGTTACATGATCACTAGTGAGGTGTACTTAAGAAACAAACGACGCATGGGCGTGGTTTATCATTCAATAAAACACTGCAGGGAGAATAAACCATGAGGGGCTATATTTCTTGTATGAGATATCAACATTAGGTACAGCCTCTTTAAGGATGAGTAAGTAATGTACAAGCTTTGAAAGAATATACCCGTATTTTAATAATGATGACCCCCTCAATAGAATCCAACCTCAGCAATGTCGGACAAGTCCATTTTATGCACAGGTGGGTATTTCCCGCATATTCTCACAATCCTCACGTTAATAACCTGTACCGTTTCTCCCAATACTGATACTCTAAAAAATAACAACATCCAATATATGACGTCATCAAGTTGCGAGCGCATGTTCGAATCTCTAGAAATTATGTCATGATGGAACAATGTTTAACGTGAAATAAACCATGTTCTTTGCAATTTGTCTTAAGGCTGATTTATATAAGATGTTAAGACCTGAACAGGCATGTATACCACAAGACTGACTTGATATGGAACTTTTTGTCATTGTCATGTACACCACAAGACTGACTTGATATGGAACTTTTTGTCATTGTCATGTATACCACAAGACTGACTTGATATGGAACTTTTTGTCATTGTCATGTACACCACAAGGCTGACTTGATATGGAACTTTTTGTCATTGTCATGTACACCACAAGAGAGACTTGATATGGAGCTTTTTGTCATTGTCATGTATACCACAAGACTGACTTGATATGGAACTTTTTGTCATTGTCATGTACACCACAAGACTGACATATGGAACACTGTGTCATTGTCATGTACACCACAAGACTGACTTGATATGGAACTTTTTGTCATTGTCATGTACACCACAAGACTGACTTGATATGGAACTTTTTGTCATTGTCATGTACACCACAAGACTGACATATGGAACACTGTGTCATTGTCATGTACACCACAAGACTGACATATGGAACACTGTGTCATTGTCATGTACACCACAAGACTGACTTGATATGGAACTTTTTGTCATTGTCATATTCACCACAAGACTGACTTGATATGGAACTTTTTGTCATTGTCATGTACACCACAAGACTGACATATGGAACACTGTGTCATTGTCATGTACACCACAAGACTGACATATGGAACACTGTGTCATTGTCATGTACACCACAAGACTGACATATGGAACACTGTGTCATTGTCATGTACACCACAAGACTGACATATGGAACACTGTGTCATTGTCATGTACACCACAAGACTGACTTGATATGGAACTTTTTGTCATTGTCATATTCACCACAAGACTGACATATGGAACACTGTGTCATTGTCATGTACACCACAAGACTGACATATGGAACACAGTATCATTGTCATATCCATACAGGCCGACTGACTTGTATGGGCTTTTTACAAGACTGCGACTGGCCAGTCATCTGGATTCTATAATGAGTAATTGTAATGTTTCCTCCATGGGATACAGGACAATTTGCTTGTCAGTGTTTTTTTGAATAAAGGATGAAAGTACATGTCTTTGAGAATAATTACAAATTAAAGTATGATCAGTTTTAGGAGGTCCCTCGATTCAAATACGATACCAGTAGAACTACCCCAGACCCGTGAAGATTCCGGGGTAGAATAGGCCTTCAGCAACCCATGCTTGCCGTAAAAGGTGACTATGCTTGTCGTAAAAGGCGACTAATGGGATCGGGTGGTCAGGCTCGCTGACTTGGTTGATGCATGTCATCGATCCCAATTGCGTGCATCGATGCTCATGATATCAATCACTGGATTGTCTGGTCCAGACTTGATTATTTACAGACCGCCATCATATAGCTGGAATATTGCTGAGTGCGGCGTTAAACAACCAACAAACCAACCAATAAGAAATCTGAGTTGGGACTTGCAGCAGTTGACATGTGACTTGTGTGTTGCAGGTATGATCGAGCGGAGCGCTGTCGGGGGACTGACGGACTACTTCCGTGCACTATGTGAGTACACAGACCACACTCCGGCGCAGTGGTGACTTAGCATTACTCCATTGCCACAGGCTAATTTGCATATCACGTGACCGGACTTTTCTCTTGTTTGTTAACAAACACGCTTTTTCAGAAAGCTGTATAGAACGGACTAATATAGTAGATGGGGGCGCTTTACATATTGTTTTGCATAATTATATAGATATGCTACTACAACTGCGACAGTGAGTTGCATGACAATATATATTTATACATCAAAGTGACCGTATCGCTAGCTCTCCGTTGGGCTTCGATGTGGGCGGTCGGGTAACCTAGTGGTTAAAGCGTTCGCACGTCAAGCCAAAAACCCGGGTTCAATTCTCACTCACTCACTCACTCACTCACTCACTCACTCACTCACTCACTCACTCACTCACTCAATATATTATTCTGATAAAATGATAATGTCAGATATAATTTCTTCTGACCTTTGCATTAATATTTTATGAAGTTAAGTCATTTGGTACTTTTTGACTGAATCCCTGGTAGATGTGGGAGGAAACGTGTATAAACGTGTATGTGTATTGTGGTTTGTTTTAGCCAAGATAGCAGAAGTTTCCGAGTGAAAACGTATATAACGAACAACGTATATAACGAACTGATTTCTCTGGTCCCTTGTAGTTTGTTATAACCAGGGTATGAAACTCCCAAAAATTTCAGCCAGACCACAGGACTGGCTAGCTGAAATACTTGCCAGCCCTGACTAAAACCTGCCTGCCCACTATAATCATATGTTTCTCAGGATAAGCTAACGGGATTTCTTTTTGGTTACATTTTATCATTCATCTTTACATGTGAATTAATGATTATCATCGGGAAAAATTTAGAATATTGTCACATATGAAATATAACCCAACCGTCGGGCAGGGGGATTTGAAAATATGGCAGCCCGAGTTGAAATCAACCCGTCTCGGACGGTCGGGCAGGCAGGTATTTCGAACACTGTTATAACCATGTTCTACTGTAGCTAGAATATGGATTATGGAATATTGCTAACTAGCGTAAAACAACAAACACTCCGAGGTAAGCTATTGCCAGGCGTGCTGACACTGGAGGCTGTGTTTCAGCGGCTCACCTGCGGCGGGAGGCCGAGAGACAGGAGACCATCAGCAGCAGTCAGAAACCAGCCAAGAAGAAACTGCGTAGACGCAGGAAAATCGTTGGGAGCATTTCAGAAGTTGTAACGCCATCACGGCAGCCCGAGAGACAGATGTCAGCCCCTCCCTCCCCAGTGAAACGTAAGTGGTGCCGTGATTGGAGTCATACAGTCTGAGAGTGTTAAGAAGGGACCATGGAATCATACAGCATGAGAGTGTTAAGAAGGGACCATGGAATCATACAGTATGAGAGTGTTAAGAAGAGACCATGGAGTCATACAGTATGAGAGTGTTAAGAAGGGACCATGGAGTCATACAGCATGAGAGTGTTAAGAAGAGACCATGGAGTCATACAGTATGAGAGTGTTAAGAAGGGACCATGGAGTCATACAGCATGAGAGTGTTAAGAAGAGACCATGGAGTCATACAGTATGAGAGTGTTAAGAAGGGACCATGGAGTCCTACAGTATGAGAGTGTTAAGAAGAGACCATGGAGTCCTACAGTATGAGAGTGTTAAGAAGAGACCATGGAGTCATACAGTATGAGAGTGTTAAGAAGAGACCATGGAGTCATACAGTATGAGAGTGTTAAGAAGGGACCATGGAGTCATACAGCATGAGAGTGTTAAGAAGAGACCATGGAGTCATACAGTATGAGAGTGTTAAGAAGGGACCATGGAGTCCTACAGTATGAGAGTGTTAAGAAGAGACCATGGAGTCCTACAGTATGAGAGTGTTAAGAAGAGACCATGGAGTCATACAGCATGAGAGTGTTAAGAAGAGACCATGGAGTCATACAGTATGAGAGTGTTAAGAAGGGACCATGGAGTCCTACAGTATGAGAGTGTTAAGAAGAGACCATGGAGTCCTACAGTATGAGAGTGTTAAGAAGAGACCATGGAGTCATACAGTATGAGAGTGTTAAGAAGGGACCATGGAGTCCTACAGTATGAGAGTGTTAAGAAGAGACCATGGAGTCATACAGTATGAGAGTGTTAAGAAGAGACCATGGAGTCCTACAGTATGAGAGTGTTAAGAAGGGACCATGGAGTCCTACAGTATGAGAGTGTTAAGAAGAGACCATGGAGTCATACAGTATGAGAGTGTTAAGAAGAGACCATGGAGTCATACAGTATGAGAGTGTTAAGAAGAGACCATGGAGTCATACAGTATGAGAGTGTTAAGAAGAGACCATGGAGTCATACAGTATGAGAGTGTTAAGAAGAGACCATGGAGTCCTACAGTATGGGAGTGTTAAGAAGTGACCATGGAATCATACAGCATGAGAGTGTTAAGAAGTGACCATGGAATCATACAGTATGAGAGTGTTAAGAAGGGACCATGGAGTCATACAGTATGAGGTTGTTAAGAAGGGTTCATGGAGTCCTACAGTATGAGAGTGTTAAGAAGGGACCATGGAGTCCTACAGTATGAGAGTGTTAAGAAGAGACCATGGAGTCCTACAGTATGAGAGTGTTAAGAAGAGACCATGGAGTCCTACAGTATGAGAGTGTTAAGAAGAGACCATGGAGTCATACAGTATGAGAGTGTTAAGAAGGGACCATGGAGTCCTACAGTATGAGAGTGTTAAGAAGAGACCATGGAGTCCTACAGTATGAGAGTGTTAAGAAGAGACCATGGAGTCCTACAGTATGAGAGTGTTAAGAAGAGACCATGGAGTCATACAGTATGAGAGTGTTAAGAAGGGACCATGGAGTCCTACAGTATGGGAGTGTTAAGAAGTGACCATGGAATCATACAGCATGAGAGTGTTAAGAAGGGACCATGGAATCATACAGTATGAGAGTGTTAAGAAGTGACCATTTTCTTTTTCTTTTATTTTAGGGAAATAGTGATCTTCAGTTTCAGAACCAAACATGATTCTGATATTGGAATACAGATCATCAGTGAGCCAAGTCACACAGCTTACTATAGGTCTTCAGCAACCCATGCTTGCCGTAAAAGGCGGCTATGCATATCGTAAGAGGCGACCATCAGGATCGGGTGGTCAGGCTCGCTGATGCATGTCATCGTATCCCAACTGCGTAGATCGATGCTCATGATGTCAATAACTGGATTGTCTGGTCCAGACTCGATTATTTACAGACCGCTGTCATATAGCTGGAATATTGCTGAGTGCAGCGTTGGTATCCCTCGATTATTGCAGAAGTTGTCTCACTATGGATAATGGGTGTGGTGATATTTCATCTGTGTCTCCTTATTTCAGACATGGGCAACCGGGACATGAAGCTGAGTGTGAATGCAGAATCCTTTGTGCGATTAATATTTTTTATGTAAGTATGAGCACTGCTTTTACTGCTTTGAGTGTTCATGTTTGTGTGTCTACATCAGATAATATTCCATTTAGAAGAGTCTATGTCGGACAATGTTTTGTTTCGAAGTGTCTATGTCAGACAATATTTTGTTTCGAAGTGTCTATTTTGGACAATATTCTGTTTAGAAGTGTCTATGTTGGACAATACTCTGGTAAGAAGAGTCTATGTTGGACAATATTTAATTTAGAAATGTCTATGTTGGGCAATATTTCGTTTAGAATACAAACTAAGATCATCTTTCTTGATCAGAGGTATGATAGATGATCAGCAGTAATATCTACATATACGAGGGCGGCCACGATGTGCCTGCCTCACGCAACGATAGAAGTCACAAAACTCTAATCACAACAGCTTGTGCCGAAAACCTTCTAGCCTGAATATGGCTCTTTTCCCTCCTTTTGAGCAGATGTTAATGTTTTTATATGGACTACTATCAGTGGACGGACAGACATTTACTAGACTTGTGGCTAAATCTATTCTGTTTTTTGTGTTGGTTTGTTGGTTTGTTTGTTGTTTAATGCCACACTCAGCAATATTCCAGCTATATGACGGCGGTCTGTAAATAATTGAGTCTGGACCAGACAATCCAATGATTGACATCATGAGCACTGATCCAAGCAATTGGGATCGATGACATGCATCAACCAAGTCAGAGAGCCTGACCATCCGATCCCGTAAGTTGCCTTTTACGACAAGCATAGTTGCCTTTTACAGCAAGCATGGGTTGCTGAAGACCTATTCTACCCCGGATCTTCACTGTTTTTCATGACTTGCTCCATGTTCAGTGTGGCCATGCTAACAATGTGATGTTGTTATCAGCCAGTTTTGTTAAACTTGCCTGGTACTTAAACTAGCAAGTTAGCAACTGGTTACTAGACCAGAATATTGAGAAACTTGAGATTTATTTTTGAAAATCAGATATTAGAATCAGAGTATTAACCAATACATGGGCATGCATATCATGTACTGCGCGGTCAGGCAGGGGTGCAACTTAGCGCAAGACATTTACTAGGCTGAGGAGTGACAACATGTAGAGACACCCCTAAAAAGCCTGAAATTTGATTCACCCCCAGAGAATACCTTCTAATCTCACCCGGAGGTGGTCGGGTAGCCTAGTTGTTAAAGTGTTTGCTTGTCACGCCGAAGACCGGGTTCGATTCCCGACATGGGTACAATTTGTGAAGCCCATTGTAAGTGTCCCCCTGGAATATTGCAAAAAGCGGCGTAAAATCATACTCACTCACTCATTCCCTCTGACCTCACCTTCAAGATACCTTCTAACCTCAACCTGAGGATACCGTCTAACCTCACCTTCAAGATACTTTCTAACCTCACCTTCAAGATACCTTCTAACCTCACCTTCAGGATACCTTTTAACCTCAACCTGAGGATACCGTCTATCCTCACCCTCAGGATACATTTTAAACTCACCCTCAGAAAACCTAAACTCACCCTCAGGACACCTTCTAAACTCACCCTCAGAATACCTTCTAACCTCTCCCTTGAAATACCTTCTAAACTCCCCTTGAGAATACCTTCTAAAGTCACCCTCAGGATACCTTCTAACTCTCCTTTAGGATACATTCTTACCTCACCCTCAGAATACCTTCTAACCTCACCCTCAGAATACCTTCTAACCTCACCCTCAGGATACCTTCTAAACTCACCCTCAGATTACCATCTAACCTCACCCTCAGATTACCATCTAACCTCACCCTCAGATTACCATCTAAACTCACCCTCAGATTACCTTCTAACCTCGCCCTCAGGATAGCTTCTAACCTCACCCTCAGGAAACCTTCTAAACTCACCCACAGATTACCTTCTAACCTCACCCTCAGGATACCTTCTAAACTCACCCTCAGATTACCATCTAAACTCACCCTCAGGATACCATCTTAACTCACCCTGGCTTACCTGTGTTGGTGTTCCAGACTGGCAGTACTGGTGGTCCTCAACGCCATCCTGTTCTTCAAGGTGTGGTGCTTGGAGGACATCGTCAGGCAGAGGTACCTCCACCACACTGCCAAAGACTTCAACAATGTCGCGTAAGTCATGCAGGGCAGAGGATATATTGAAAAGATCACTAAAAATTGGCATATTTACTAGATCACATGACATGTTGGATAGATTACGTGACATGTTGATAGATTACATGACATGTTGATAGATCACATGACATGCTGGATAGTTCACATGACATGTTGTATGGATCACATGACATGTTGTATAGATCACATGACATTGTTTAGATCACATAATTTGTGGGATATATCACATGACATGCTAGATAGATCACATGACACATTGAACAGAACAGATGACATGTTGGATAGATCACATGATATGTTTGACTTTTACATGAATTGTTAGTTGTTAGTTGTTTAAGGCCGCACTCAGCATTATTCCAGCTTTATGACGTCAGTCTGTAAATAATCGAGTCTGGACCAGACAATCCAGTGATTGACATCATGAGCATTGATCTACGCAGTTGGGATACGATGACATGCATCAGCCAGCCTGACCACCCGATCCTGTTTGTCACCTATTACAACAAGCATAGTTGCCTTTTACGGCAAGCATGGGTTACTGAAGACCTATTCTACCCCGGATCTTCACGGGTAGACATTTTACATTTTCCAATATTAAAGTTTAATGTCGTTTTTCAGGGAATATCCCCGGTCTCAGGAACAGTGGGCAAACTTGTTGAACCAGCAGAAAAGTCTGTACAACCGGGAGATTGACAAGTGGAGCGATGTGTTGGCTACCTCCATACAGTTGATAGAACAGGTGGGGAGATTGACAAGTGGAGCCATGTGTTGGCTACCTCCATACAGTTGATAGAACAGGTGGGGAGATTGACAAGTGGAGCCATGTGTTGGCTACCTCCATACAGTTGATAGAACAGGTGGGGAGATTGACAAGTGGAGCCATGTGTTGGCTACCTCCATACAGTTGATAGAACAGGTGGGGAGATTGACAAGTGGAGCGATGTGTTGGCTTCCTCCATACAGTTGATAGAACAGGTAGGGGGATTGACAAGTGGAGCGATGTGTTGGCTACCTCCATACAGTTGATAGAACAGGTAGGGGGATTGACAAGTGGCGCAATGTGTTGGCTACCTCCATACAGTTGATAGAACAGGTGGGGAGATTGACAAGTGGAGTGATGTGTTGGCTACCTCCATACAGTTGATAGAACAGGTAGGGAGATTGACAAGTGGAGCGATGTGTTGGCTACCTCCATACAGTTGATAGAACAGGTAGGGAGATTGACAAGTGGAGCGATGTGTTGGCTACCTCCATACAGTTGATGAGCAGGTGGGGAGATTGACAAGTGGAGCGATGTGTTATTTACATACGAACTGAAGTTAGAATGGAACTTGTTCTGTTATTTATATTTCGTGCCTTTTTTTATATTTGCAGATGAAAGGGACCTTAGAAACACTCAGGGACGGACTGGATACGAGGAATGCTGACAGGAAGTCCAAATCCTGACCCACAATACATCTGTGTGAGCGCTAACCTCAAACCTACCTGTCCAGTAGTCAATGGTAGAGGTCACAACTCCGCAAAACCAGCAACCATCTTGGGATCAGCAGCAAATGCTTCTGTGACATTTGATTGGTCAGTTGTTGTTTTGTCTCTGACCAATCAGGGACCAGGATTTTGAAGCTTGTGAAACTGTTACTGAATGTGATATAATGTCTCTGGTATACAAGAGAAAGTTGTTAATATTTATTTGACAATGAGAGAAGTCTCTCAGTTAAGTTATGACTATAGTAGATGCCCATGCAGAGTTTACACTGCTCAGTGGCGTCCAAATATCTGTTCTTTGTCATTTGCAAATTAATGGATTGAGATTTTCTCCACAAACAGGAGGTATGCCAAAATCATCCGCTTCTTAGAGAAGCATTTGACAAACATTTGGGACGCAGGTAGAAATGATCACCAAGTTATATCATGGCTGAACATTAAGCTTTGAGTCAGCACTCTGCTAGAATTGTTTCATTCCAACTTAATTCACATGGCGAAGGGGCTCGGGGATATTACAAGGGGATCAGATTTTGAAATATTTAACTTCAGTTGGGGTGGAGGAGTCATTATCTAATGTTAAACTTCAAGGGGATCCACCTGGCAAGGTATATATCAATGATATGAAGGTACCGTATTCGACGTAATAAGCGCCCACGGCGATAATTGCTAGCATATTGTCTAGTGAACAATCCCAATTAGCACCCCTTCCGATTGATCAATGTACACAAGACTTATTTATTCGTGTATAATACGCACCGTGTTATATGCACCCTTAATTATGGGCAATTAAATTGTGGAATAATATATCTGTCGTATATAAAGATTGTCAGCATAAACCACGAAATTTTTTTTTTTTTAAACTCTGTTTCTTCCACCAAAATAATATTCTAATAAGAGGCCTCTATTTCTAATTTTGAGAGCGCCCTGGGCGCTTATTACGTCGAATACGGTATATGTCACACCATGGCCATGTGGTGGTATTGTCGGAGGGTCTACCTTGATCGGCACTGAAGTCGGCTTTTATACGAAAAGTGTTTACATCTGTGTCCAAATTACTTCATTGTTGTCCTTGTTATGGTCCAAGTTCCAGGAACATCCGACACTTTTCATTCCAAGTAATGACATAAATTGTCACATTGTCAAACAAATAAAGGTCACTATCAAGCATTACATAACGGCTTCCTCACCAAACATATCATGTGACATTATGTCATGGTGGATTTGCCTCTTTGTCAGGTTATTGACCACGATGATGTTCTTGTTGCACATAACAAACATAGACGTTTATAAATGTAATCAAATGTTGGTTATGAATTTGGAGACTGATAAATCCAAAATACTTCACTGTTACAAATTCAGCTGTAGGACCCAGATTGTTACAATGATGTGTTTTGTGTTGGATTCCAGCAGGCAACAACTAGATTTTTTCTGAATCTGTGCATGTGTTAAACATATCACTAACAAGACTGCATATGGGTTGACGTCACCTGCCACTAAGAGTAATGACAATGATTAGGGTCTTGTCCTAGCTAGGGCATCTATGGCAAGAGCGTCCACTAGCCTTTCTATCAAGGTCTTGTATCCACCTGCCACCAAGAGTGGCGATTTTGTTACGTGAGTTTGATTGGACTATGCGTAGATTTGTCAGTCCAGCCAAAATATGACTCCATAATACCAGCCTAGTTCGGCATGGGTGGACACAGGACTTTTATTGTCAGGAACTCACTTGCCTCGGGAAGAGGTTATCTGACCAATGACTGCTCAGATTTTTAATTGCCATTGAGCAAGAAACATCCTCCGAACTGCAGTGATTCATGCATCATGTGCCCTAGTCATGGTGCCACATGCTCTGCAGATTCCTTCAATGTCAGTCTGGGGGTTTCATAAAATGTTCATGCATGAGTTGGGCCTATTTCGATTTCATTAGTTGTTAACAGCCTCATTTTAACGACAGCGATTCGCTGTGCAGAGTTGCGTCCCTTGGGAACGCCAGAAACCTATGATTGTGGGTTTGAATCCCGGTTCTCCCCGATTATGTTTCTAGGTTTGTCAGCACCATACCCGTGCTCGTGGGTTTCACCGAAGTGGTTAACGTCGGAGACCTGCATCGCTTTGGGCTTTCCTCCCACATTAAGCTGACTCGCCGTAATATGACTGGAATACTGTTAAAAGCGGCGTTAAACCCAACCCAACTCACTCACTCACTCATTTTAATGACTGACTAAAAATCGACCCATGTCACAACTACACTGCATTCCGGCTGTTTGTATTTACGTGTGGTGGAGGGACGTTGTGTATCAAACCTGTGAAATACTTACGTTGTAACAATCTGGGACATGGTCCACAAATCGATCTTAGCGCTACGACTGTTGCAAAGTGTAGGAGTTACGATCACCTTAGCACCAAGATAGCTTTGTTCAGTGGGGCCCAGAAGTCATACCAACACATACTGGTGAAAAAAGTAGGGAGTATCGCAACACCCATCATCAAATAATTGCTTCAGACAATCAGGAGATCGGGAGAAAGTAAGGTGAAACATAGCACAAAGATAGAATGAGTTTTAGTGTCTGTTTATCAATCAAGATGACCTATCAATGATGTTCACAGCCTGATCAGGGCCTGACTAGCATGCATCATGTTGGTTGTGGCTTCGGGATGTGGATGGGGTGGGGTTATGGCTTCAGGATTGGGGGGTAGGGGGATGGTGGTTCAGGGGATTTTGTATCGAGATAAGATATGTTTTCAGCTACAAAACCATATATTTCTTTATAGAACAATGAGTCTGAATTCTTTTTGAAGGAAAACACATTGCAACAATGTAATTTTTGTGGTAGGCTATATTGGGTTTTTGGCCACTGAGGTGTAATTATTTTTTTCAAGAAAGTTTGGGGACAATATATTGTTTTAGATTAAATCTCTCCGCCCAATATGAAATAGTCGGTCCCATCCCATCAAGAAGGAACGAAATGTGTATAATCTTTATTATAAGACATACCCAAGAAATGCTTAGCCATTTAATACAAGACGTTGTGCATCCATGTCTTACCACCTTGTAGATGTGATGGGGTGGTGTGGTTAAAGTACTGGCTAGTCGTCTGCACTGCCAGATGTTATCCCAACATGGGTTCCTTTGTGTGAAACCCATTCTGGTTTCCCCTAGTCACTGGTGATGTGCCCCATGGGGATCCAGGGTTAGAACAGTGCCCCATGGGGATCCAGGGTTAGAACAGTGCCCCATGGGGATCCAGGGTTAGAACAGGTCCCCATGGGGATTCAGGGTTAGAACAGGTCCCCATGGGGATCCAGGGTTAGAACAGGTCCCCATGGGGATGCAGGGTTAGAACAGTGCCCCATGGGGATCCAGGGTTAGAACAGTGCCCCATGGGGATCCAGGGTTAGAACAGGTCCCCATGGGGATCCAGGGTTAGAACAGGTCCCCATGGGGATCCAGGGTTAGAACAGGTCCCCATGGGGATCCAGGGTTAGAACAGTGCCCCATGGGGATCCAGGGTTAGAACAGGTCCCCATGGGGATCCAGGGTTAGAACAGGTCCCCATGGGGATCCAGGGTTAGAACAGTGCCCCATGGGGATCCATGGTTAGAACAGTGCCCCATGGGGATCCAGGGTTAGAACAGGTCCCCATGGGGATCCAGGGTTAGAACAGTGCCCCATGGGGATCCAGGGTTAGAACAGTGCCCCATGGGGATCCAGGGTTAGAACAGGGCCCCATGGGGATCCAGGGTTAGAACAGTGCCCCATGGGGATCCAGGGTTAGAACAGGTCCCCATGGGGATCCAGGGTTAGAACAGTGCCCCATGGGGATCCAGGGTTAGAACAGTGCCCCATGGGGATCCAGGGTTAGAACAGTGCCCCATGGGGATCCAGGGTTAGAACAGTGCCCCATGGGGATCCAGGGTTAGAACAGTGCCCCATGGGGATCCAGGGTTAGAACAGTGCCCCATGGGGATCCAGGGTTAGAACAGGTCCCCATGGGGATCCAGGGTTAGAACAGGTCCCCATGGGGATCCAGGGTTAGAACAGTGCCCCATGGGGATCCAGGGTTAGAACAGTGCCCCATGGGGATCCAGGGTTAGAACAGGTCCCCATGGGGATCCAGGGTTAGAACAGTGCCCCATGGGGATCCAGGGTTAGAACAGTGCCCCATGGGGATCCAGGGTTAGAACAGGTCCCCATGGGGATCCAGGGTTAGAACAGGTCCCCATGGGGATCCAGGGTTAGAACAGGTCCCCATGGGGATCCAGGGTTAGAACAGTGCCCCATGGGGATCCAGGGTTAGAACAGGTCCCCATGGGGATCCAGGGTTACAACAGGTCCCCATGGGGATCCAGGGTTAGAACAGGTCCCCATGGGGATCCAGGGTTAGAACAGTGCCCCATGGGGATCCAGGGTTAGAACAGTGCCCCATGGGGATCCAGGGTTAGAACAGGTCCCCATGGGGATCCAGGGTTACAACAGGTCACCGGCAACCTACAAACACTGTGGAGACTTTCATTTCAACATATCAGCATATTCCATGTCAGTTTGGTTGCCCTTTGATGTACTGAAGCCAGATAGTGCCGGGCCTGGATAGAGACTGGGGTGCACGGTGCTGTGTGGGAGGTCGTGTTTTTTTGTTGAATATGTTATTCAGAGTTAATATATAAACACACATTTGTATATAGAGATCATAGTTTTGTATTCGGGATTACCCCGTGTGCACCTTGTTAGAATCTTGTTTAAACATTCCACACCCAGTTGACGTGTAGATTGCTTGCAATGTTTGTCTCATGGACGCAGCACTGTGTTATATGTTGGGAAAGCCTAGTTCGTGGGCCGCAGGACATGTGACATGCTGCTGGGTTATGGTCATGTGACATTGCACAGTGAGTGTCACGTGACATTATGAAGGTCGTATGGCACTGTACAGTGTGAAGGTCATACGACATTGTATATTATGAAGGTCATGTGACATTTTGCAATGGTCATGTGACATTGTACACTTTGAAGGTCATGTGACCCACATTGTAAGGTTCATGTGACATGTTACAGTCTAATAGTCATGTGACATTATGCAGTGTGAAGGTCATGGTCAGAAATGATACTTAATAATTCCTGGAACACGACACGGTCCCGCCATTTGTAATATTGCCCTATGTAGACAGTCATACACTAATCCTCATGTCATGACATGCGACATCTGCAGCCTCGTGACATCTGCAGCCTCGTGACATCTGCAGCCTCGTGACATCCTGGGACACACGTAAAGATCTGGGGTGAAATACGTCTGAGGCAACCCATGCTTGCCGAAAAGGCGACTAACAGGATCGGATGGTCAGGCTGACTGACTTGGTTGATCAATGTCATCGTCTATCCCAATCGCGTGGATCGATGCTCATGATGTCAATCACTGGATTGTCTGGTCCAGACTCAATCATTTACAGACTCCGGTCAATTAGCTGGAATATTGCGGAGTGTGGCGATAAACAACAAACATACAAACATCTTATGAGACATCTTTAGTGATGTGACCTCATCGTCAGGTTAAAACTGGTCCAGCTTTGTCCATTATAAACAATCAGGTCTGTTGTCAATATCACAAGCAATCAAATTGTAACACGTTTCTCGTACAGTTTGGTCGCGATCATCGAATCGCAGCCTTACTGTCATGCCGTATCAGTCATCCATTTGTCCAATGTTTCATTCTGTGTGGTGTTTTTTCACTGGGTTGGCTTGTCTTGATTGACAGTGTGTGTTAAACATATTCATTTACGAAGGCAAAGGACACCATGTTGTATAGGCGGGGCTGACGTGGGGATTTTGACCCATAATCCTGGGTTTCAGTGTTTCAGCATTTTAGGCAATTTTGAGACTACATTCATCATTCAAACATTTGTTTCTGTTGGCCCCATAATATGTGAAGAAATGCAAACGTCTGTTCTAGAGTGTCCTTGACAGCTTATATGTGTTATAATCCCTCACCGTAGGATGTGTGTCTCTTTGTTCCTGTACAATATGACTAAATGTCATGTATACTGCTCAAAAGAAGTGAAGGAACACTCAATTCTGTTCATATCACTATAGTTTATCTGTAATAAGTTATCGTCATATGAAAAAATGTGTTCTTTACCTTCTTCCGACTAGTATATATGCCAGATATTGCTGCAGACAGTGTGCTTCTATACTGCTCAAAAGTTGATAGGGATGCTGTTCTTTGATACACCAACTGATAAATATAGTCTGAAATATCTCAATATTCCTATCAATAGTTGAGTAGTATAGTTGCTCTAACAAATGTCTTGTTATAAATACCTGAGGAGCCTTGTTGTTAATGTGATGGCTTCGATTCACATGAACTAGCTGCCATCTGTCCCAAACTAAAATATAATTCCTTCCTTAATTAAAACAGGGGGCACGGACGGCCCAGACGGCCCAGTCGTCTAAGGCACTGCAATTCACTGTGCAGAGTTGCGTCCCTTGGGCACGCCAGAAACCTATGATTGTTGGTTCGAATCCCGGTTCGCCCCAATTATGTTTCTAGGTTTGTCAGCACCATACCTGTGCTCGTGGGTTTCACCGAAGTGGTAAACGTCTGTGACCTGCATCACTTCGGGCTTTCCTCCAACATTAAGCTGACACGCCGTGATATAACTGGAATACTGTTAAAAGCGGCGTTAAACCAAACTCACTCACTCACTCACACTCATATCACAATAGTTTATCTGTCATAAGTTATTGTCAAATGAAACAATGTGTTCTTTACCTTCTTCCGAGTAGTATATATGCCAGATATTGCTGCGCACAGTGTGCTTCTATCCTGCTCAAAAATTGATAGGGATGCTGTTCTTTGATACACCAACTGATAAATATAGTCTGAAATATCTCAATATTCCTATCAATAGTTGAGTAGTATAGTTGCTCTAACAAATGTCTTGTTTCCATCTATAAATACCTGAGGAGCCTTGTTGTTAATGTGATGGCTTCGATTCACATGAACTAGCTGCCATCTGTCCCAAACTAAAATATAATTCCTTCCTTAATTAAAACAGGGGGCACGGACGGCCCAGTCATCTAAGGCACCGCGATTCGCTGTGCAGAGTTGCGCCCCTTGGGCACGCCAGAAACCTATGATTGTTGGTTCGAATCCCGGTTCGCCCCGATTATGTTTCTAGGTTTGTCAGCACCATACCTGTGCTCGTGGGTTTCACCGAAGTGCTAAACGTCTGTGACCTGCATCACTTCGGGCTTTCCTCCCACATTAAGCTGACACGCCGTGATATAACTGGAATACGGTTAAAAGTGGCGTTAAACCCAACTCACTTACTCACTCCTTAATTAAAACCAATATAATGCCAGTCTAGGAAAAAAAAAATCATCTCAATTTTGCACCTTGCTCAGAAAAACAAATTTAATTTCGAGATTGAAGATTTTGTTTTGACAGTTCCCACTGTCTGCAGCCATGCATAGACTGTGATAATCATTTTGTGCAATATCTTGTCCTCATTGTGTATGTGTTTGTCACTGCAGTTATCTCCCTTCTTCTCATGACCACCAGATGTCATGGTAGTTGTGTTGATAGATATACAGGTTATTCACTGGCGTTCCCTGGCACAGTGTAAGCAGACAGTATGTCATAGTATTTACACTGTAACCTCAGCCTGGCTGTTTTAGCTTGCGTTCTCACATAGGTGAGGCTTATTTCCATACACAAGATTGTACATATTTGTAAGCTCGTATTTGTGTGTGATGTGTGTGTATATGTAGGATGTTTGTCGGGGATACAGCCTTACTGACCTCCACACCTCTCCACTGCCATGGCAACACATTACAGGTGCGACGACATGAGGCCATTCTGATAGAGAGTGGGGTGTGTGTGTGTGGGGGAGAAGGACAAGGGTTCATTGAGTAGCCCAATGTCCAGTCTAGGTCTAGATGTTGTAATTAGAAACGGTCAATTCAGAAGTTGTGTTTGTGTAATGAAAGCCATCAGTTCAATATATTTGTAGGAGGGGTGGGGTGGGGTGGGTTCGGGGTGTATTTAAAAAAAACCACCTGTTCCTAGAAAAAGAGGGAAGAGTAATTTTTCCTCAGGTTTTACACACAAAAATCAATTGTTCACTGAAAATGTTGCATCGTCTGAAATGTAATGCACTGTGGGTAAAACCTTTTCATTACCGCCTTTCAGAAAATATATTTATGTCTTTTAGCACTAACTGACAAAAAACAAACTGTCTCAAACAATAATCCCATTCCCCCCACCTTCCCAGAGTATTGTCAGATTGATATATTTTGTAATTTTTGTGTGACATAGGTATTGATGGACTTAAATCCAACTTACTTGGATTGCTACTAAACCCCAATCTTGTACCCGTTTAGTCTCTTCAACTCAACACCCCCTGACATGCAATCCCCCGTCTATCCCAACAATTGACTTCTTCTCTCACAATGGTGCTGTCAATGTTGCTATGATTTAGTAAGGAGAATTTGATATTGCGTAAATCAAAAGATAGCTGTAATTTCAGATTGGTATCTATTTTTCAGTACTCAGAATGATGTCGTATATACATAAATACGGATGCAAGAGGTGTATGTGTATGATATGTTAATCTCTGAAATATCGAATGTGAGCTTGGAAATCCCCCTGTGTAGAATGGCCTCGTATCGTCCGACCTGAGTGTGTATATGCAGACTGTTATCACTGATAGCTACGCCATCCCTATGATGACTGCATCAGTTGGCCAACATGTTTCTTGATATTTTCCATTGCAGTTTTAGCAACTTTTGCTTCGTCTATTTTTCAGTTCCAATTTATGGGTATGAGGAAACAGGTCCTGGCTATAGACAATGGTGATGCTTTCACTTTCAGATGGACTCTGTCCAAAAACATTTGCAGAGAAGATGATTTGTGTTGTATTGGTGGTGTTGCTCGTTTTATGTGTCTTTTCTGGATTATTTTTAATAACATTTGAATATTGTACCATGTAAGATGGAACTCTAACTGTAACCCATGAGAGTCAAGGACGCTAAGGAGAGAACAGCTTGTCCAGTTTGGGCGAGTTTGTTCTTAGACCCTGCACTACAAGAAGATGAAGTTAACATTTGTTTGAGTAGGTATCTCAGGGTATACTGAACAAAGAATTTGATCATGAACATTTGGGGGGCATTTCTATAAAAAAATTGGGTGCTCAGTCTTCACCCAAATGTTCATGATCCTTGTTTTGTTCAGTATGTGTACTCATAAATAGATCAGGGTCATTGACATCACTTTAATGACCTTGTCGTTTTGGAATATTTACATCTAATATTGGGAGATGCATGGGACCCAGAAAGAGTTCCCCCTCAGTCCACACCAGGACCCTGTTGCTTCTCAATGTGTGGGTGTTGCTCCAGACTGTCACACTTAAACATGACTGGTTCACTGAGGTCATTTGTACTTCTGATGTGGAACAGGGCTGTGGTCCACAGAGGTCATTTATTTCTACCTCCTGATTTGGTTCAGAGCTCTGGTCCCCACATGAGGTCATTTGTACTTCTGATGTGGAACAGGGCTGTGGTCCACAGAGGTCATTTATTTGTACCTCCTGATTTGGTTCAGAGCTCTGGTCCCCACATGAGGTCATTTGTTCTTCTGATGTGGAACAGGGCTGTGGTCCACAGAGGTCACTTATTTCTACCTCCTGATTTGGCTCAGAGCTCTGGTCCCCACATGAGGTCATTTGTACTTCTGATGTGGAGCAGGGCTGTGGTCCACAGAGGTCATTTATTTCTACCTCCTGATTTGGTTCAGAGCTCTGGTCCCCACATGAGGTCATTTGTACTTCTGATGTGGAGCAGGGCTGTGGTCCACAGAGGTCACTTATTTGTACCTCCTGATTTGGTTCAGAGCTCTGGTCCCCACATGAGGTCATTTGTACTTCTGATGTGGAACAGGGCTGTGGTCCACAGAGGTCACTTATTTCTACCTCCTGATTTGGCCCAGAGCTCTGGTCCCCACATGAGGTCATTTGTATCTTGTGATAAACTCTGATGTAGATAGATAGACCTTTGAGGTGTTCAAGTCCAAACCAGAGGGCCAGACATCTTATCTGCCTGTGATAATTCCTACTGTTGTCAAGATCAAAGATAGATATATATCAAAGCCAGATGCTACATAGTTGAAACATAATATAATATGTCACCATGGTAACCTCTGCTTCAGGCGACAAACGTATCCCACTCTTGTTTAGTCTTACAGTAATTTCCGAATGTGTATTCATTTGGTACGTAGTTATGTAGACATATGGGGAAACTTAGGGATATAATTTGTTTCAATTCTTTTGTGTTTGGGATAATCCAAAACAACTCTCCCACCTGACAGGTATGTCGTTCTTTTGTTGAAGAATGACTAAAATTCTGAATGAAAGTCTGCGAAGGTTGCCATGGTGACATGACTTAGCTGAGGCTGTTTTGTCCTGTGATGTGTCTCCTACCAGTCTTGTATATAGTTGTAAGGGGAGTAGTACCTGGAGTTTACGATGTACATAGCTGTAAGGGGAGTAGTACCCTTAGTCTACATTGTACATAGTACAGAGAACATTTGCACTGTCATATTTTCATCATTTTTCTCAGATTGAAAAAGTATATAAACTATTTCAAAATATGAGCTGTTTCCTGTTATGCTTTCTTTCTTTGTTTGTTTGTTTGTTGTTTAACACCGCACTCAGCAATATTCAAGCTATATCACAGCGGTCTGTAAGTAATCGTGTCTGGACCAGGTAGTCCAGTGATTGACAACATGAGCATTGATCCATGCAATTGTTATCGATGACATCCATCAACCAAGTCAGCAAGCCTGACCACCTGACCACCTGATCCCGTTAGTCGCCTCTTACGACAAGTATGCCTTTTACGGTATGCATGGGTTGCTGAACACCTATTCTACCCCGGATCTTCACGGGCCTCCTGTTTCGCAATGAGAGAGCTTTCTTAAAACGAATTGGAGAACATGAACAAGAGCATTACAGAACAAGGTGATTCGAGGTTAAATGGGGTTTAACGTCACACCCAAGATTATTGCACTTATATAGCAACATGCATGCACATGTGAGTGTGTGTGGCTGCTTGTACTAGTCCTGACTGATGGCGATTTATAGTGCTTGCCTACTGAGATAACATGCCGCAGTTAAACATAAATATCCTACTCAGACACAGTATGCCGACTCCAAGCCGACCAGTCCTTGTTTTCGCCCCTTAATGCCAAGCGCCAGACAGGGTAACAACAAGTACGCTCTTTTAACATCTCTTGGCATGAAGTGTCCGGGGATTGAACCCCAGACCTTCGGCTCTCTGGGCAGACGCCCTTACCACTAGACTATTGTTTGGTTTGGTTTGTTGTTTAACGCCGCACTCAGCAATATTCCAGCGGCGTTCTGTAAATATTCGAGTCTGGACCAGACAATCCAGAGATTGATATCATGATCATTGATCCACACAATTGGGATACGTTGACATGCATCAACCAAGTCAGCGAGCCTGACCACCCGATACCGTTAGTCGCCTCTTACGACAAGCATAGTTGCCTTTTACGGCAAGCATGGGTTGCTGAAAACCTATTTTTCTCCGGATATTCATGGGTCACTAGACCATGGAGGCGGGCGCATTACAAAACAAGCATATTAAGCCTAATGTGCGACTGTTACTATAATGAAGTTACATTTTGCCAATAAGGCTTTTTATTTAGTTGGGTTTACGAATCTGCCAACCCAAAATACTGAAAAGAGGGAAAAACAAAATTGAATTTAAATTATCATTTATTGATGTTTTTTATCCCCACTGACCAGAATAAAAAATAAAAGAATAACAAATATTTTTTCTAAAATCTTGTAACCTGAACACTTTACCAGAGAACACTTTACATCAGAACTCGCTCCTTTGCAGAAGGGATTGCTTCAGAAAATTATTTACTCTGCAGGGTTGACAGTATTATAAAGGGGCATAACTCAAGCCACATTAGAATATCATCCGAGATTACTTTTTTGCACTGCCTATTTCATATATTTTGACCAACTAAATAAATACAGATCTAAACAAATTTGGACCAAGCAACTGAGTGAATGAAAGAATTAGCAGCCATCCACACCATACATAAATATTTAAGTCAAGGCCAGGCAAATCAGTGACCAACATAGAGAACAACATCCCACCCTTTTGGGCTTGATGACAGATCAACCAAGCCACAGTACCTGGCCAGCAAATCTCGCTTTATGACAATCCTGGGGAAACACAACACAATGTGTAAAACAAAAATATATACAACATAATGTGAACAACAACATGATGTACACAAGGAAGACAATTTGACAACACTATGTACACATGTCTTGTGTCCAAGAAGACAATGTGTACAACACGATGAATACAAGAAGACAATGTGTACAACACGATGTATGCAAGACGACAATGTGTACAACGCGATGTGTACAAGAAGACAATGTGTACAAGAAGACAATGTGTACAAGAAGACGATGTGTACAACATGATGTATGCAAGAAGACAATGTGTACAACACGATGTATACAAGAAGACAATGTGTACAAAATGATGTATACAAGAAGGCAATGTGTACAACATGATGTATACAAGAAGACAATGTGTACAACACGATGTGTACAAGAAGACAAGGTGTACAACATGATGTATACAAGAAGACAAGGTGTACAACACGATGTATACAAGAAGACAAGGTGTACAACATGATGTATACAAGAAGACAATGTGTACAACATGATGTATACAAGAAGACAATGTGTACAACACGATGTATACAAGAAAACAACGTGTACAACACGATGTATACAAGAAGACAAGGTGTACAACACGATGTATGCAAGAAGACAATGTGTACAACACGATGTATACAAGAAGACAATGTGTACAACACGATGTATACAAGAAGACAATGTGTACAACACGATGTATACAAGACGACAACGTGTACAACACGATGTATACAAGAAGGAAGACAATGTGTACAACACGATGTATGCAAGACGACAACGTGTACAACACGATGTATACAAGACGGAAGACAATGTGTACAACACGATGTATGCAAGAGGACAACGTGTACAACACGATGTATACAAGAAGGAAGACAATGTGTACAACACGATGTATGCAAGACAACAATGTGTACAACACGATGTATACAAGAAGACAATGTGTACAACACGGTGTATACAAAAAGACAATGTGTACAACACGATGTATGCAAGACGACAACGTGTACAACACGATGTATACAAGAAGAAAGACAATGTGTACAACACGATGTATGCAAGAAGACAACGTGTACAACACGATGTATACAAGAAGACAACGTGTACAACACGATGTATACAAGAAGGAAGACAATGTGTACAACACGATGTATGCAAGACGACAACGTGTACAACACGATGTATACAAGAAGGAAGACAATGTGTACAACACGATGTATACAAGAAGACAATGTGTACAACACGATGTATACAAGAAGACAATGTGTACAGGAAGACAATGTGTACAATACGATGTATACAAGAAGACAATGTGTACAACGCGATGTGTACAAGAAGACAATGTGTACAAGTAGACAATGTGTACAACACGATGTGTACAAGAAGGAAGACAATGTGTACAACACGATGTATACAAGAAGACAATGTGTACAACACGATGTATACAAGAAGACAATGTGTACAGGAAGACAATGTGTACAACACGATGTATACAAGAAGACAATGTGTACAACACGATGTATACAAGAAGACAATGTGTACAACACGATGTATACAAGACGACAACGTGTACAACACGATGTATACAAGAAGGAAGACCATGTGTACAACACGATGTATGCAAGACGACAACGTGTACAACACGATGTATACAAGAAGGAAGACAATGTGTACAACACGATGTATGCAAGACGACAACGTGTACAACACGATGTATACAAGAAGGACGACAACGTGAACAACACGATGTATACAAGAAGACAATGTGTACAACACGATGTATACAAGAAGGAAGACAATGTGTACAACACGATGTATGCAAGACGACAATGTGTACAACACGATGTATGCAAGACGACAACGTGTACAACAAGATGTATACAAGAAGACATGTGTACAACACGATGTATACAAGAAGACAATGTGTACAACATGATGTATGCAAGAAGACAATGTGTACAACATGATGTATACAAGACAAGGTGTACAACACAATGTCTACAAGACAATGTGTACAACACGATGTATACAAGAAGACAATGTGTACAAGACGATGTATGCAAGACGACAATGTGTACAACGCGATGTGTACAAGAGGACAATGTGTACAAGAAGACAATGTGTACAACGAGATGTGTACAAGAAGACAATGTGTACAACACGATGTATGCAAGAAGACAATGTGTACAACACGATGTATACAAGTAGACAATGTGTACAACATGATGTATACAAGAGGACAATGTGTACAACACGATGTATACAAGAAGACAATGAGTACAACACGATGTATACAAGAAGACATGTGTACAACACGATGTATACAAGACGGAAGACAATGTGTACAACACGATGTATGCAAGAGGACAACGTGTACAACACGATGTATACAAGAAGGAAGACAATGTGTACAACACGATGTATGCAAGACAACAATGTGTACAACACGATGTATACAAGAAGACAATGTGTACAACACGGTGTATACAAAAAGACAATGTGTACAACACGATGTATGCAAGACGACAACGTGTACAACACGATGTATACAAGAAGAAAGACAACGAGTACAACACGATGTATGCAAGAAGACAACGTGTACAACACGATGTATACAAGAAGACAACGTGTACAACACGATGTATACAAGAAGGAAGACAATGTGTACAACACGATGTATGCAAGACGACAACGTGTACAACACGATGTATACAAGAAGGAAGACAATGTGTACAACACGATGTATACAAGAAGACAATGTGTACAACACGATGTATACAAGAAGACAATGTGTACAGGAAGACAATGTGTACAATACGATGTATACAAGAAGACAATGTGTACAACGCGATGTGTACAAGAAGACAATGTGTACAAGTAGACAATGTGTACAACACGATGTGTACAAGAAGGAAGACAATGTGTACAACACGATGTATACAAGAAGACAATGTGTACAACACGATGTATACAAGAAGACAATGTGTACAGGAAGACAATGTGTACAACACGATGTATACAAGAAGACAATGTGTACAACACGATGTATACAAGAAGACAATGTGTACAACACGATGTATACAAGACGACAACGTGTACAACACGATGTATACAAGAAGGAAGACAATGTGTACAACACGATGTATGCAAGACGACAACGTGTACAACACGATGTATACAAGACGGAAGACAATGTGTACAACACGATGTATGCAAGACGACAACGTGTACAACACGATGTATACAAGAAGGACGACAACGTGAACAACACGATGTATACAAGAAGACAATGTGTACAACACGATGTATACAAGAAGGAAGACAATGTGTACAACACGATGTATGCAAGACGACAATGTGTACAACACGATGTATGCAAGAC